CAAGTATCTCACAGAATGGAGGCAGCCCGGATATTAGAGTCACCAAATGGAGGAGAGATTCTGTCAATCTGCATCAGACTTTGAGTAATCTACAAATTGATCTGTTTCCCTGAGCTACTGAGAGATCTTTCAGGATTTTCCTGTTGGGACACTCAGTGTTAATTACCCTGATTAAAGCAGATTACATGCCCACCTGAGGGAAAGATATGCCCTGACCAGCCTACACATCATCTGAGATGGAAAGATGTGCTGAGTTACCTCCGTTGACTGCATGCAGCTTTACAGTAAGAGAATTCATGTGCTGTTCAGTTGGAGACTCAGAAGTACAAAATACTTAAAATTATACTGATCATTCCCATAAATGGAAAATTGTGCCGTTATCACAAAAAGCACCATCAAAGACAGAATGCCTTTGCAGACACGCCTTTAGCTTTTGGAGAGTCTTCAAAAGACCCATTTAAAAATAAAATATGCTTGGTGCACCTGGGTGGCTCAGTTGGTTAAGCATCTGCCTTTGGCTCAGGTTATGATCCCAGGATCCAGGGATCGAGCCCCAATTGGGCTCCCTGCTCAGCGGGGGCTTGAGTCAACTCACCAAAGTGACATTTAAAACCTGCTTGTGCTTGTGTGCTCTGTGTCAAATAAATAAAATCTTTTATTATTATTTTTAAAGATTTTATTTGACAGAGAGAGAGAGACAGCAAAAGCAGGAACACAACCAGGGGGAGTGGGAGAGGGAGAAGCAGGCTTCCTGCCGAGCAGGGAGCCCGATGCAGGGCTCAATCCCAGGACCCTGGGATCATGACCTGAGCTGAAGGCAGACGCTTAACGACTGAGCCACCCAGGGGCCTCTAAAATCTTTTAAAAAAATAAAATACACTTAGGTCATTCATAGCACAGAAAAGAGAGGTGAAACTGCAAAACCTAACATTTAGTGAACTACTACTGCCTAGCCCTGAAAATAGGTAAGAGATACAAATAAGATAATGACACCTTGTATCTAAACTTTACTGTCTGCTAGTGAGACATCAATATATGTCAAGGAAGCTGAACAAATGGCAAAAGCTCTTTAAAATAAACCATCAAGAAAGCATACTGCTTAATAATGTCTAAGGTCAGAGTACATAACCAAGATTTAAGCTCAGGTCTGCCTGGCTCCAAACAAAGCCCATATTCTTTCTAAACTCGAAACAAAACAAAGCAAAGAGAAGAAAACACAGGAGGTGGAAAAAAAAAAAAAAAATGAAGAAACTCATCATGGCATGTGGGATGAATTTGGTACCAAACATCAAACTAGAAACAACAAAGATAACCATGATGGGTTTGGAACTTGAACTTAAATAATACAACAAACAAATATTAGGCAAGAAAATTCAGTTTGGCTAAATAGAGAACAAAGAGAAACTAACCATGAGGAGAAGTATTAACAATACATAAGGAGATAATGTGGTAAACATAGTCGACACAGATAACTAAATAGAGATGGAAGAACCAAGTTAGGCACTCAACATTTATGAGACACCAAATATTCAAGTCTTAAATGAGTCACCCATTGATTATATCCACGCTGGCCCCATGTGTTGTCTGCCTGAGATATACAGATAAAAATCCAAAGCTGTTCAGGAGTATAGTAGCAAGTTACAACTACACCTAGGCACACTTGTCTCTGATGATAAAGCAAGCTGTGTTGGCTCCAGACACGTTCCATCTGCTGAGGCCCCTTGCTCCCATTCAACACTGGTCCTCATAAAACCCACCGTGATCAGGAAAGGTTGATGTGGTAGAGAAGATGAAAGATAGGATAGATGTATATTATGTAACACAGGGCTCAGAATGTGGGCCTTTCATCCCACTGAAACCCTTTTTACATAGGCAAGCCTATCAGATCTTTCCCTCCTTGCTTTGTGCTGTGTTTTAAATTGATTCAATAAATCTGTGACCAGAATATCTTAATATGGTTTGTGAGCCTTTCTGTACCGAGACCACAGCTCCTGCCTGCATGATGGGATACGTAAGTAGCTGAGGATACAGGGTGTCAAGGCTACAGGAGTGGAGGTGCTCAAGTTAGGGACAAAGGCTACAAGGCTCAGGATATCCTTGGAATTGTTCCCAGCACCAGCAAAAGTTGGGGCTGTCAGGAGGAGTGGACTGCAGGTCCCTGATGATACCAATAGAACTTGTCCACCAATTCACCAAAGATTTGATACCTGAACTCACCACAGACAGAATATCCAGAGTGTAAGAGTCAACAGACAGGTATTCTAGGCCCCTCTTTCTTCAGCCATTAGAATATGCCAGCTTCCACTCTCCACCCACCTGCCTCGAAATACCCAGATGCCACGATGGACAGAACAGCAGGAGGTGCAAGAGGTCTGAAAGACTCAAGATTCCCAAGAGAGCTTGAGTCATCTCACTAAAGTGACATTTAAAACTAGAAGAGACTAATACAATATTAACTGGCAGGCATGGTTCTCATTTGCCTGGGTGTGGTTTATTGAGGAAAAAATAGATGTCAATAGTGAAGAAGCTACAACTTCCTTGTAAATATGAGTAGTAATATAAATAAAATGTTGAGCCCATTATGGTTTTATTAGCAGCACTAGTAGTATGGAAGAGATAAAAGGAATGAGAAAAAAAAAAGGTAGTTAATCAATGGACATTGAAATGATTTGTCTTTGAAATAGCCTGTCCCACGTCAATATACATACACATGCACGTGCACACACACACACCCAAATATCTGATTACTCTATTGTTTTGTCTAAAGAACTATCTTTGTGATGTGTACACACACACACACACACACACACACACACACAGAGGAATGTTACTCAGCCATCAAAAAATGAAATCTTGCCATTTGCAATGATGTGGATAGAACTCGAGGGTATTATGCTAAGTGAAATAAGTCAAGCAGAGAAAGACAATTATATGATTTCACTCATATGTGGAATATAAGAAACAGCACAGAGGATCATAGAGGGAGGGAAAAATAAGATGAAATCTGAGAGGGAGACAAACCATAAGAGACTCTTAACTATAAGAAACAAACTGAGGGTTGCTGGAGGGCAGGTGGGGGGATGAGGAAACTGGGTGATGGACATTAAGGAGGGCATGTGATGTATGTAATGAGCACTGGGTATTACATGCAACTGATGAATCACTGAACTCTACCTCTGAACTAATACTACACTATATGTTAATTAATTGAATTTAAATAAAATAAATTTAAAAAAAAGGAACAACTATCTTCAGTAGCAGGATACCTGAGCAGTTGCTAACATATATGTCTAGGTAAAGAAGTCCCAAACTAAAAATAAGTATGCCAGCCCCTTTGCTTATATTTATGTGTGATCAGCTCTCACTTTTCTGCCACAAACATTCAAAAAAGTATTTTGTTCTCCAATAGCTATGTTTTTCCAGAAATACTACGCTAAAACTTCTAAAAACATAAACATTTCCTCCTAAGTATAACTGGGATAGAGCACAAAGGCTAACCTGAAGTTCAAGAATAGGAATGACCAAGAACTGCTCCTCTCCTACAGTGAATAATCTTTTAAATGGTATGATTTTTACGTCAACCTTACAGGAAATTTTGTATATACTTTGGATTAAACTAAGGAAAAATATAGAGTTTCCTACGTGGGTCAGTCTGCGTTTCAGTCAACGTAGAGATTAATGCATGCAGGCCAAGGGCAAGGAGTAAGGATCTAATCAGAGATGACTGCAAATCTCATAACATTTCGGTCGATCTGCTGCCTCACATGCTACACATTTCCAGTCCTGAAGTATTTTATAAAGCTGGAAAGATAACCAGCTGGGCACCTGGATGCTACAAGCCTAAAAGGGCAAGAGACACTGAGACAGGCACATGGGATACCGAAAAGTTCCAAGCACAGACGTGAGGGAGTTTTGCTAAGAAAAATGGGGCTGATATACCATCTGGCGACCATTTGAAGCATATGGGTAAAAAACTGTCCAGATATTTCTATATATTTTAGGATGCCATCAAAACGTACAACAAATTGCAGCCATTTCTGAAACTTAAAAAAAGGGGGGGGCAGGGAACCTGACCCAATGTGATGATACAAAAGTGAGCAGTTAAGTTGGTAATAAAGAATAAGATATTTCTCACTTAGCTCATTTAGAGATAAATAAAATGCTCCCTTGGAATGGAATACCAGCTTGAAATGTAAGTATGCTAAATATGTGTGCATTTTCTATATATTGAAATACAAATTTAAATCACAGCATTCTGTGATTTGTATAATTGATAATACCTGGTTATTGCAAAAGGTTATATATAAGCACCAACAGAACTGCTTTTGAAATCCATTAATTCAGCCCTAGATATATACACCATTTCCCATGGATTTTACACCAGTGTTATTTACTGATGCTACTGTATTTTAACAACCAGAAATCTTTACAGTCGATTAAGGATTCACAAACATGTATCGAACAAGCTCTTTCCCTGTCACTTTCAGCAACCATGCTGAAACAAATTCTAGCATTACTAACTGAAAACAAAAATGTGAATAGAAAAAGGTCATACACGTACTCAGAAGTAACAAATTAATGGTTATCTTAATTCTTTCTCAATCTAGCCACTAGATTTTTCCAGCAACTGCAATTAAGCACTTGTATTTAACTCATTCAGAACAAAGTCTGAAAGGCTTGAGAGTGCTCTAACGAATAAACTGCCGCAGGCAGGCATCTCCCTTCATCTTTTTTTGGAAAGGCAAGTAGACAAAAATGCTGAAAGCTGCCCAAAACACTGCTTAATGTCCATTTGAATAGATAGGAATTTAAGTAACGAACCTTCCCCCACCTCCCAGAAAGTAAAGACAAAAAAATCGCATAAACATCTCATCAGAGCCAGGAGGGCACAGGCCTCTCCTCAGCCCCGCGGTGCATAAACATCTCATCGGAACCAGGAGGGCATAGGCCTCTCCTCAGCCCCGCGGTGTCCACAGGAGACAGGGGAGGCCTGTACTCACACAGATGGCCAGAGCGCCTGCCCCCATTCTCGCAGGAAGTGCCTGGTAGAAGTGATGAAGACCAGATGAAAACATCAAAATGACAGCGAAATACTGAAATTCCATTCAGTAGATAGGCTCTCATTTGAAAAACCGCTCCCGATCCAGAGGCCTCACAGCAAGGGAAGTGCAGCTCCTAACATTTTCGGAAGTGTGGCTTTGCTTCTCATTCGGCTGAACCCACATGGCTGGCAGGACTGCCTGGAGTTGAAATCTGATCCAGAGCGTCTAGTATTGGCAAGTAGAGGATGTCATGTGACATGGGCCTTAAGCTGCTGACATCTTTTTCTTAAACCTGACTTGCCAGATACCACAAACAGGCTTTCTCTGTTCAGAGAACGCCGATCATCTGGTGGCATTCTTTAATAGGACTCAGTGCAAAACGTGAAAATGCAAACTTGCTTCCTTGTTGCTACTCCTAAGAAAACCTCACATATTCACACTCAGGTTGCAAACTGCAGGCACATTCCTCACTTTTCTGAGGCACTTTTCACTTCCAGTGCCCCTTAGAAACCAGTGAAATTCTACCAAAATGTTCTTCCCTCCACTTTGATTCTATCAGAATTGTTCTAAATGAAAATACTCTTATGTAGCTGTTAACCACTTCTAATTACTTTTGAATTATCTTATTCACATATAATGGTGAGAAACATAAAACAACATGTTTCTAGACCTCCACAATTCAACATGTGTGATTTATAGTCTGGAAAATTAGCCTCTAGTTGACCTTTCAGTAATGTCCTACTTCATATGCTGTGTCATTAGAAAATGTGACAGACTTCACAATTTCCAAATATTTGATAGCTAAAATATCCATTTCATATAAGCCAGAAGGAAACTGATTTTTTTATTATCACTTTTTTTTTCGTCAAATCTTTTCTAGTGGCACATTTAAGAGAATGCTGGGGGGCGCCTGGGTGGCTCAGTCGTTAAGCGTCTGCTTTCGGCTCAGGTCATGATCCCAGGGTCCTGGGATTGAGCCCCGCATCAGGCTCTCTGCTCAGCGGAGAGCCTGCTTCTCCCTCTCCCACTCCCCCTGCTTGTGTTCCCTCTCTTGCTGTGTCTCTATCAAATAAATAAATAAAATCTAAAAAAAAGAATGCTAATACTGCATGAGGAGTTTCACTTTTCCCGGTTTTAAAAGACTTAAATTGCCCTCCATAACAAAACATAATAAAGTTATATCTTAAGGGGATGGGGTGGGAAGACAAGGGAAAGCCCAAATCAGCTCTCCATTTAATATTTCCCTTCAAATCTAGTATACTTTGTTTATTTCTTGTCAACTAACAGTATCTACAGCAAAGCCAGGATAGAAAATTGTGATAAGCCAGCCATAGGACATGACAAAGTACATTTTGTTTCTATGCATGCATATAGAACATTGTAAAGACTACCTCCACAAGGCAGAATAACACAATCCCATACAATAGAATGGGAGTGGGGGAATGGACATAATCTTCTCCACTGAAAAATAAAACTTTTTTCTACTTCCACCTAATCTAGGTTTTATCACTTCTGTTTTCCATTCACCCATTAGAAAACTAGGCTGTTAAAGAAAATTACAAAACTTTTTCTAATACATTAAAAATGCGTCTTCTTTTTGTGATTATGTAAGTATTGCCTGTCTTTGGTGAAAAATGAAAGCCTGAAGATTAGGTCACCTATAGGCTCATCACCCAACATTACCCAATCAACATTTATTACCATACAAAATACAATGGTATATGGCACTATACTATACAAAATACAATGATAAGAAAGACCTAGTACCTTCTCTCATGGATCATCCAATGGGAGGGAGGAATGAAAATAAGTAAATAAAGCTTTTTGATTAGTAATTGCAGAGGTGCTAATAAAGAAGCAGAGATGAGGTAGTGAAAGAGAATAACAGAACACCTAGAAACATTTAGCATATTACCATTCTTTCATGTTTTTAAAAAACATGATTTAAATCTAGTTTCTGATAGTTTTATGTTGTTTTTCACTTAACACTGTATCACACAAACATAGTATCACAAGCTTGCTCCCATACCATTAACAGTGTAAACAATTTTCATCACTTACAATATTACATTCTGTATAAAAGTTTGAGTCATTCTCCCATTTTTAGACATTTACATGGTCTCTGGTTTTATGTGTGTATGTAAGTAATGCTCTATCCTCATTCTGATTATTTTCTAGTCAAGACTCCAGAAAGTGAAGTTTCTGGATCACAGAGAACATTAACATGTGCTAAGGCTCTTGACATATATTAACTCTGGCAGTTTACATTCTACAATTCATGCTACCCAAGTTTGAATATTTTTAAAAATATTTCCTAATAAATGAAAAGGATTTCTCATTCTAAAACTTGTATTTTTTATTATTAAAGATATGAAAATTCCTTATTCATTTGTATTTTCTGTTCTGTGTGTTGCTTTGTCCATTTACCAAATGGAAGCTTACCAAGTCTCTTTTATAAGCTCATTTTAAGGATTAAATGATACAATCTATAAAAAGCACTTAGTGTAGTACCTGGAAAATGGTAATAAAAGTAACAATTTTGGATGCTTATCAAATGGTTGGATTATAGATCTCTTTGGAAATTTTTTTGAAATACAGTGAAAAATGAGGATCTAAATTGATTCAATTTTTATTTTGCATGTAACTACTGTGGCTCACACTGTCAACTCTCTCCAGTATGCCATCTCTCTTTCTGATACTATTCGAGATTCTTCTCCCTCTTAGTTGGGGCTGAGCCCATAGTTGTGCACCCAGAGACTACATTTCCCAACCTTTCATACCAGTAGATAGGGCCATATGACCATGTTACTCATTAACAGAGTGTGAGTGGATAGGATATGTACGACTTCTGGGTCACATGCTTCACAGGAAATCTCTTACTACACATTTACTCTCCTTCTTTTCCATCACATGCTGGAATGCGGGTGCACCTCACTTCCACCATGGAGAGGAGAGAATCCCAGGGGAGGAAAGAGTGAGTAGATGGAAGGAACCTAGACCTTGTGGAATATGGCTACATTAACAAGCCTGTATCAATTAAACTCTTACATGAGAAAGAAATAAAACTCTCAAATATGCTACTGTATTTGAAAGTCCTGTGTGTGTATAAAACAAGTTATCTTTAATATACTAACCAAATGACTCTGCCCCATTTATTGGGCAAGTTTTTCATTCCCATATATGATACTATCCATACTACATATTAAATTCAGATATACATACACACACATGCACAACCAGTCTTTTTCAGGCTAATATATTCTATCTCGGTTTTTCTTTCTTTCATAGTCTAGTTTTATTCCACTGCCATAATATTTGAATAGCAATATCTTTATAATTTACTTAAATAGCTGATAAAGATAGCCTTCTCTCATTTTTTTTTTAAGATTTTATTTATTTATTTGACAGAGAGAGAGCGAGAGAGGGAGACAGAGAGAGACAGCACACACAAAAGCAGGGGGAACAGCAGAGGCAGAGGCAGAGGCAGAGGCAGAGGCAGAAGCAGGCCTCCCGCGGAGCAGGGAGCCCAATGTGGGACCGATCCCAGGACCCTGGGATTACGACCCGAGCCGAAGGCAGATGCTTAATGACTGAACCACCCAGACGTCTTCTCATTATCTTTTTCAAAATTTTTTTGCTCCTTTCCAATTTTTCATGATGGATTTCAAAAACATTCAGTAATGTTAGAACAAGTTAGAGTATCAAAATATTATACCTTGTGTTATTTTTTTCTAACACATTTAAACATCTTCTTTCTATTTTAGATAATACTACATAAGAATGACAAAAAATCTAATCCTAATTTTTACGAGTACTTACACACTATTACAAGGTGAAATTAGTACCGTGGCAAATGTTTATCCTTATTCTTGGTAAGGACTACATTTCACTGCAAAAACAAACAAAAACAAAAAACCCTAAATATGCCATTAAAAAAAAGGTACTAAAGACATTCTTCATATCAAACAATGTTTCTCCATAGAATGTATCTGAAATTAGAGTCTCAACTATTTTTCCTTCCCCCCTCCCCCACCATAGATGCAAGTGATAGTAGAGTCCAATTCCAGTAAGTTCTCTGAGCTGGCAAATATATATATATTCCTAAGTATTGAGTTACAAAGAATCTTAAAAGACATAAGCCATGGCCAAAATATGATCTGTCCTCCCCCCCTCCCCCCAGAAAGAATAAAGGAATTGTAAAAAGTACTTTCAGAATAATTCGCTCTGGTGGGCTAATTCCATGACTACTCCCAGAAATGCTGAAATACAAGTCAGGACAAAGTAGGTCCTATTTTCAAGATCCGTGGGCTCCTGAGGAAGAAGTCAAGGGGACTTCACAACTGATGGTCAGGCCCCTTGGACGCTGTCATTCAAATGACCCTCTAACCTGGGGAAGGTTAATGAAGGAAGCTAAAAAAGACAAGGTTATCCTGTAGCCTCCAAAAATCTAAAAATGCTTCAAAGTCGAGCTCTCTGATGTTAACTGGCAGAACTTTGTTTTCAAAAGACAAAATCTCTTCAGCTGGAGTAGCAATAACAGTTGTCAGAAGAACAGCAGTGGTCAGCAGAAATAGTACTTCTGGCCATGTAGCAGAGACCAGCAAGTATCATGGGGTGTGGTGGTGGCGGCACTAACAGCATCAACCACCTGATGCCCACTGGAAATGCAACATCGGAGGCTTTTTCCCCTAAACGCTGTCTGTCTATACTCCGGCTCTACTTCTATCTCAGCTATTTCTCCAGGAGTATCCTAGCCTGGGCCAGAATCAATGGCATCCAAACAGATAGGGTATCAGAAGTCAGTTAGTCATCAGCTATTGATTATTTATGTACTCTCTCTTAACCAGAGAGGTTCAGATATTTTGGGTTTTGATTCCCTAGCAGTTAGAACAAGATTACTTGTTCTAGGTCAGGAGTCAGCAAACTATAGCCTGCGAGTTGCATGTGGCCACCACAGGTCCAATCCAGCTACTGTAGACCAACTCTGGTTGCACCCATCTCTCTACATATGGATGGCTGCATTGGTACTACAGGGACCAAGGTTAGTAACTGCAACAGAGACTGAATCTATGGCCCACAAGGCTTAAAACATTTACTATCTGACCCTTTACAGAAAAAGTTTGCTGACCCTTGCTCTGGGCTATTCTGTAACATTACTGGGCATGAAAA